AGCTTCCCAGTGGCCCCGGCTCCATGGCTTTGGAATCTTACTGAATTCAAAGTGCCCTGTCTAGTGGAAGGAGTTGCTGCCACGGAACAAGATGCCAGTTCTGTACGTTGATCGATGCCTTGTGTGTAAATCGAGAAAGTTAAACACAGCACTGGGTTAAAAAAAAAAAACAAAACCACACGAATGAAATGTTGGATAATTTATGACCGGAGAAATCCTGGATCAGCTTCCATTTGGATCAGCCACTGAACTCCTTTCCAAGATGGCTCAGCTGTGAATGGAAACCACTTCCTCCAGCTTAGGAGTGGTCAGGGACCTAATTTGCAAAGCTGCAGCTAAACACATTGCTTTTTTTCAAAGTGTTTTAACATTAAGCATAGAACAATTTCCCTTCCAGAGTCTATAACCTGTGAAAGGATTTGGAGTTTTTTAAGTTAATCTTATATCTGGCAATCCTGCTCAGATTTGAGGGCAATAAAGTAGCATAAATCTGGCAGTTGTTGAAGCAGGGCTTTTATCTTTCTTCAAAAACGAGCAATTAAACTAGCCATATCTTAATGAACTTGTGTTTATGGACACCACTTTGTCCATGTTGTTTCTGCAGCAGCTCTGCCATCAATCTCTCCATGTATTACCTAGTCTATATACATTAATAGTGTTACAGTTACAGACCTTATCAGTGAGAAATGTTTTCTGCCTAGTCCCTTAAGGAAGCAAAGAAAAAAAGAAAGTTAACAAACTTTTAAGAGCATTAGTAATTTTGCCCCGCAGAGATTGACTCTGCCATGCTGGGGCTGAATGTGTGCCCAGCTGACCTGGCTCAGCAGCCAGAAGGGATAATGAACTGTCTCACACCTCAGCAATGAGCTGTGATGGTCTAGGATGAAACCAAGGGCAGAGAATTCAACGGTGAAGGTTTTGGAATGAAGCCCTTATGAGAACAATTCTTTTTTTTTTAACGTGAGAGTCTTGGGTAGGTGCAGCTCTGTGAAGTGATCCAAAAATACTTCGATTGTTTGCAGTCGGAGTCCTTTGTTGTGTGGCAGGAATGATAAGTACTATTAGAAAAAGAAAGGACAAGCAAGCACTCCATACCTTGACATTCCTGGGATGCCACAGTTTGAGCAAACAAAAAGCAGAGGCAGAAAGGCCCCTGGAGCTTCCCTGCCTGTCCCAGTGTTAAGGAAACCGCTTAGTTGGGAACATTTGCCACCAGTGAGTGGCCTGAGGGTGACCCTGTTCTGGGTGGTTGTCCCACACAGGCTGAAGGTGAGGTGGCAGCTCTGAACAGACGCATCCAGCTCGTGGAAGAGGAGTTGGATCGTGCCCAGGAGCGACTGGCCACAGCCCTGCAGAAACTGGAAGAGGCTGAGAAAGCAGCTGATGAGAGCGAGAGGTATGTTCCTTTTGTATTTCTTTGGGTAAAAACCTGAATACATGTGAATAAAATATCCTGTATAACTCAGGGTCTGCATGTTCTAATGACTTCAGGTCAGAGATATTTACAAGCTTGAGCGAGGAATTCTGTTAGCCTTGAAGAACATGAGGGTCATAATGGGCCATTTTGGGGTTGCAAATATCGAATTCGACTTTCAGACCTTTGAGATAGAAGTGCTAAAATGCTCCTGCGTTAACCACACTTTGCCTTCTGCAGAGGAATGAAGGTGATTGAGAACAGAGCAATGAAAGATGAAGAGAAAATGGAGATTCAGGAAATGCAACTGAAGGAGGCCAAGCACATCGCCGAGGAGGCCGACCGCAAATACGAGGAGGTACAAGGGAGAAGGAAATGGTTAAACGTCCAGAGAGCAGTGAAACAACTTCAGTTTAGTCACTCTGTGTGCTTGTCACTGGGTGATGCTTCAACCTTGGAATGCTCCCAACAAGCAGGAATTTTAATGGTGACTTTGCAGCAGCTTAGATATTTAAGACTGCAAAGTCTTAACTGTTTTGGGGAAGTCATGTCTGTGTGTGTGTAGGTTTTAACCTAATTCCCTCGTGCCAAAGGAATCAGGAGTGTAATGCTTTGAGAGGACAAGAGGGCACAGACTAAAGCTCTGCCAGGGGAGGGTTAGCTTGGATATTAGGAAGAGATTTTTTACAGAGAGAGTGATCAGGATTGGAATGTGCTGCCCAGGGAGATGGTGGATTCACCATTCTTGGAGGTTTTCAAGATGAGACTGGATGTGGCACTTAATGCCATGGTCTAGTAACCACAGTAGTGTTGGACTTGATGATCTTTGAGGTAATTTCCAACTAGGTCGATTCTATGATTCTGTGAGAGAGCTGAAACCAGCTGATTTTTAAGGTCCCTTCAACCCAAACCAGCCTGTGATTCCATGCACTTCAGACTGGGCTGATCCAGCTGTTGTCTCTTTGCAGGTTGCTCGTAAACTGGTTATTCTGGAGGGTGAACTGGAACGAGCTGAGGAGCGTGCAGAGGTGTCTGAAGTGTGAGTAACTGCAGTTCAGAATGCAGTTGAGGTCCATGCTCTATTTCATTAGAAAAACCCACTCCTGGCAGGAGTAACATGCAGTTAACCCATGTCCAAAAGCTTTTTCATCCACTATATACCAAATTTTCTCCTTCCAGACTTGATTCCTTCCTCCCTTGTATTTCAGACTTCTTGAAAATGAAATCATAACAGGAACACTAGTGATTCATACTTTTGTTTTCCCCTGCAGTAAATGCAGTGACCTTGAAGAGGAGCTAAAGAACGTCACAAACAACCTGAAGTCTTTGGAAGCTCAATCTGAAAAGGTTGGTGCTTGCAGTAAACTGAAGAGATAGAGCAAAAGCCAAAACTGGTAAATTAAAATGCATAGAAACAATGCAGAAATGCAAAGAACTGAGAGATTTTAGCTGCCTATGGATGCAGCTCCCTCAGGGCTGCCCCAACCAGCCTCAAAGGCCTTGGGGACGAGGAGAGAAGGAAATGGTGTTTGCAGCTGTTGTAAAAGGAAAAGTGGTTATAAATAGGTCACAGTTTCATAAACATATATTATTGTTGCTACAACTTCCCTTAAAGACTGTTTATTGTCTTCATAGTACTCGGAAAAAGAAGATAAATACGAAGAAGAAATCAAGATTCTCACTGACAAGCTCAAAGAAGTAAGTTTGGTCAGGCCCAAACTGTATTTTGGTATTGGTTTTTAACAACATCCAGTGACTCTATTACGATCCTTTCAGGCTGAAACTCGTGCTGAGTTTGCAGAGAGAACTGTTACCAAACTGGAAAAGTCTATCGATGACCTGGAAGGTATGGAATGACTCTAGTTTCATTTCAAAGTGGTGAATTTCAGATCAGAAACCAAATTCCAGGTGAGGGTGGTGGATTTTGTTGGGAAAGGACAGCAGCACTTGTCAGGTGTATTGATAGATGGGTGTGATGTGTCCACTGGGCACTTTCCTGTGTGGTGGAAGTTCTGAAAGAGGTTTTCTTTCAAAGTACTGTTAACAATGATCTGATTTTGGCCAACTCAGAGACAGAGACTCCAAGGCTGAGCATCCCAACCTTACTCTCACTGAAAAATAATGGTGTGAGGTTTCAAAAGGGAAACATAGGTGAAGCCTCTGCCTGGGCAGCTGTGTGGGTGTTTTCTTTCCTTCTGATACTCAACTACACCTGTTTTCTTCTTTTGTTTCCCTCCCCAACTGCTTTGGCTGCTGTTGCCTTCTGCCTGTCTCCGCTCTCCTCCTGTGGCCTCCTCTCCCGCTGCGTTTCTCGCGGCGACAGACGAGCTCTACGCTCAGAAGCTGAAGTACAAAGCCATCAGTGAGGAGCTTGACCATGCCCTCAATGACATGACCTCCTTGTGACCTGCTCCCACTCGCTGTGTTTCTCAAGCTTTTCTTGCCTGTAATCCCTGTCACTCCTGTGCCACCTCCACACGGGATCTTCCACCTCTGTGGGGACTGAGCTCAATAAAACACGATACCTCTACCTTTCAGCTTTGGGGCTTTCCTTCTGTATGACTCACCTAAAACACACTTTGCAAGATGAGACTGGATGTGGCACTTAGTGCCATGGTCTAGTAACCACGCTAGGGTTGGACTCGATGATCTTTGAGGTCCCTTCCAACCTGGTTGATTCTCTGATGACATCACTGAAAACATGTTCAGCTCCTCACACAGGGATGGACAGGGGCAGGACCTGGTGCTGCCAAACACCAGGATGCAGGTGGCAGTGAAAAGCTTTGGGTGCATTTGATGTGTTCTTGTGCTCCATCTGCCTGGTAGAATCCTCTCAGTCCAAGGAAAACCCACCTGGAAATCACATTAAATCAGAACACATCTGTCACATTTCGCATGTCCAAAAACTTCCCCAAGTGACAGCAGTTGCCAAAAACTGGCCCCATTTTGGTGATGCAGTTGCAGTGTTGTCTCAGACATGAAGGTAAGTACCCACGGATTTTGTTTAAAGAGAAAAGGCTGTAAATAATGTGGGTTTAACCTTGTGTTTTTCTTCTTCCTCACTAGAAAAACTTGCCCAAGCCAAAGAGGAGAACCTGGGCTTGCACCAGACACTGGACCAGACACTAAACGAACTGAACTGTATATGAGATGCTCAGAGCTGTCAGCAGCCAACAGGACCAAGACCTGACCCTGCATCACCGATTCGCCCCTTTCTCTCCTTCTCCCTCTCTCTGTACCCTGGAAAAGCCAAATAAGTTATGACCAGCAGAGCCAACGAGAGGCTCTGGTGCTGCTCAGGGGCTGTGCCAGCCCTGGCCCCCCTGGCAGCACGTGGGGAGCTCCACGCCGGGGCTGCCCGGCCCGTTGTGCCATCGCTGACGGCACAGCCGCGGCTGTTCTCACGGTTCATGGCTCCTTTGTATCCCCTGGTAGAAGCTGTACCCGAGCAGTGGTGCTGCCCCTGTGCACACCTGCCCCTGACGTTTCATATTAAACCATTTCCACACTTCTGAGGTGTTTCTTGGTAAGCTCTCTTTTTTGAGTTGGAGTCAG